AGCTGTGGGGGAGGTGGCAGAGTCTCCTGGGGTCCTGGGGGCTCCCACAGGGTGGGGGGGGGACCAAGAACACTTGGGCCTCGGCGGGGAAGGCACTACGCTCACGTCACGAGGCCAAATGCCACCCCGACCGGAGGGCGGCCACTCACCTCCGGGTCAGACCCAGGGGACTTGAGCCTTGGCTTGTGTTTTGGGAAGGGACGGGATGGTCACCTGGCTCAGGACGCGGGTCCCGACCAGGTTGGTTGGCACGCGGCAGCCCCGATCACGGCCGCAGCCCCCTGCGCCCCCCGCCTGTGCTGGAGAGGAGGCTGGAGCCAGCTGCTGCGTGCCCCCCTGGGTCTGAACCCCAGAAGCACCTGTGACGCCTGTTTGTTCCCGTTTCTTCGCTGTGTGTACAGAGTGAACATCTGTTGATGTGAACAAATCATCCCAAATTAGAGCCCAAGATAGTTATCTGTCACCCTGGAGTCTGCGGTCAGGACCTGCCAGGGAGGTGTCGGCCAGCTCCGGGCTGCAGCAGGCTCCCATGCTCAGTGGGTGTCACGGGGACTGGGTCCTCACACCTGTTGGGCTGAGGGCTCAGCTCCTCTGAAGCAGGTGACTAGACACTACGCCGTGCGTCCCCCACGTGGCTTCTCGGCCAGGCAGCAGAGCACAGCGGCCGGGCAGTGGCCCTAGCTCTAGCCATTTGTTTCACCTCTGAGCCTGTTTCCCAGAGACAAGGTGACAGTGTGCAGACCTGCTCCAAGGCCTGCACTGTTCCCGCCCCCTCTGGGAACCAGCCTGTCCTGCCGGAGGTGGGGGGGGTGCGTGGTAACAGGAGTGCCTCCCAAGGTCACCTGAGGGGGCCAAGCCTGAAAGATGCCAGGTCCACTGTGGCAGGGCAGCAGGGCACCAGCCATGGAGCGGGGATGCAGGGTCAGGGTCTGCTGGCTCAGAGGCCTCCAGGGGTCAGGGTCTCTGGCCCACAGTGACCAGAACATCACATTTGCTGGGGTGGGGACTTTGGGGGAGATGGAGCTCCAAGCGCAGGAAGACCCCCTGTGTAGTCAAGAGGGGACCAAGTGGGCTCCACGTCCCCACCCTTCCAACATGGCTGCTCTGTGGATCTGTGTCTTAGAAACTTCTGGTTCCCTAGGCGGAGACAGGGGTGATGCCGGAAGGGACCCCTGGCCCAAAAGCAGCCTCTTCAGGGACCCTCCACTCCCATCGCCCCTCGGGTCCTCCCTGGCCTCATGGTGCCCGGGCCTTGCAGGCGGGTCTGGCGGGCTTGGGGGAAGCGGCCGTCTGCAGCGCACCCTTCTGCCCGGCCCGTCAAAACACGGTCACAACAAACGAAACCCAGAAAGCCGCGTGGGAATGGCAGCTGACGAGTCTCCCTTGAGTGGAGAAAGGACTGATGTTGACAGGGGCAGCCGGTGGCTCTGCCACCCTCCCCGCGGCCGAGGCTCCTGCCTAGAACCACAAGCTCCGCTCCAAGCCCAACGCCCCGGGGAGCCCAGCGGGCTGTGTGGTCACGGCGCCGAGTCCCGCCACCTCCAGGAGGAGCTGGCCTGTGACCCTGGCCTGCGCGGCAGCGGGTGCTTCTACATGGCATGGCGGGTGCCCGTGGGTCAGCGGCGCCCTGCCCGGGAGGACCCGGCCATGACCTTGCAGGTTCACGAAGGACCCCTTCCAGGCCTCTCTGGCTCAAGGGTGCGATGGTGGGGTGCACCATCGGCCTCAGCTGTCTGAAGAGAGGAGGTCCCTGATTCTCGGCAGCCGAGACTCACAGCCAGGCCACTTTGACACGATGGCAGTGATGGTCATTATTAGCAAAGGGACACTTTTGTCACTGCAGCCCCAGGGAGATGTCACCTGCTGAGACGCAGGCTCCAGAGGCCATCAGGCTTTGGGAGCCAAGCCAAAGCCAACCCATTGGTAAGAGAAGGGGTCTCCATGACACTGTCCTCCCTGCAGGCCAAGGACAAAGGGGCCACATCACAGATGACATCACAATGGCCATCCCCATCCCGTGGGAACAGCACCCGTACACCCTGATGGCTGCCACGCGATGGAGACCAGCCCCTCCCGGGGCCTGGCTGGGGCGAGGTGGCTGGGCCGCGAGGGGCCCACTCAGCTCATGACGTCCTGGTGCAGGGCTGCCCGGCGCTCCTCGCCGTCACCAGCGCACCAACGCGCCGAAGCTGTCCTCCCTAAGGAGGTGGCGATGGTCGGTCCCCAGCTCTGCCACGCCCAGCCAGCAAGACGCGACCTGAGTAAAGACACCGTTTCCAGAATTCTGGCTTTCTAGAAAACTTACTTTACTAATATTTGATTGTACAAATGGGGACAGAATAAATATCCCATGTCACTATACCCAGCTGTGACACCACAGGGCCCCAGTGCGTGCTCAGGATTGACTTCGAAGCTGAGGAGGAGGCAGAGCCCGAGGCTTCAGACCCGACTGCCGGGCCCAGCAGAAGGCCCCCCGTGCCCATGGCCACTGGGGCGTCCCTGAGGTCAGGGTTCCTGGTCAGAGGAGACGGGGTGGCGCCCTGTGACCACACGCCACGGCCGCCCTGCATGCCCAGGGATGCCCCGGTGGTGGCAGTGCTGAAGGCCCGGAGGAGCGTCCCAGGAGACAGCTGTGCCCACAGCCCGGACAGCAGCCCCCCAGGCCACTCCCCAGCTCGCTGCGGACCGACACAGAGGCAGCCACCCGGACAATGGTGGGGCCACCCGTTAGCCGCCCACGGCCACGAGAGTTTCTCCCGCGACAGGACAGATCACTCAAGACCCGCCGTGGAGCTTCCTGGCACTCGGACCCGAGAGAAGACAGAAGGCGGCTTCACAGGCCCCCAGGGCCTCAGTCCCGGCTCTGCCAGGTGTCCACCTTTCCTCCAGTCACACGAGGCCACACGCAGGCGAAGCCACCGCGGGGCCATGACGACCGACAGACTCCACCATGCCGAGCCCGGGGGCATCGCCGCCCTCCAGACTGCGCCAAGGGGCTCAGGCTGCGGCCTCCATGGCCGCACTGGCCACTGAGGGCTGAGACGTGGCCTGAGACCCTGGTGGAGGCGCAGGCAGTGCCCGGCGGTCCCCTCACAGGCAGCTGGAGATGCCAGGCACGGGTTCAGCGCCGGGCGTGGCGGGGCTCACGGGTCCGCGGGCCGCGCCTGCGTGTGTGGCTTCCTCTGGGCCTGAGATCTCGAGACGTGACGGTCGCGCAGCCAGCGGTGGGGGGGCCCCCACGGCGACACACGTCATCAGAGGGACACCCGCGAGCCAACCGCGCGGGGACGGGTCCGGCTCAGTACGCGACCTTCCAGTGAGTGGGCTGCTCGCACGCCGCCTCCTGGTCCCCACAGAAGCGGTTGTACGTCGTCCGGGGGTCCAAACCCAGAATCTCCCTCTCCTCGTGGATCCGAAAGGAAAACGTGGAGACGGACGTGCCGATGAAGAACCTGCAGAGCGACACGCGGTCACCCGTGCCACCGGACAAGCCGAGCGCCACCCACCACCCGCCTGCCAGGCCTCTGCGCCCTGGGCGCCCTGTGACAGTCACCAGGCCAAGTGGCCTTGGCTGGCGGGATGGATTCGAAGCTGAGAGCCCAAGGCCAGGCTAGTGGGCCCGGCCGAGGGTCTCCAGGACTCAAGGGACAGACAGGGCCGGCCTGGGCCAGACCTGAGGCGCCTGCTGGATCCTGGCCTCAGGACGGGCTCAGAGCCACAGGCCCGGGTGGCAGGAGCAAATCGCCTGCGGCCGCCAGCCCAAGGACAGCGGGAACGGAACCGACGCCCCGGAAGCCTGCCCCCCAGGACGCCCGCCAGACCCGGGTCCGTGTGGGGTGGGCGGCCAAGGCGCGGAGCTCGAGAGCGCACGGGACTCGGGGGCTCCGGAGACTGAGCTGCTGCCTGGCTCACCCACGGAAGTCCGGCCAAGCGGCACAGGCCGAGTCCCTCAGGCCCACCCCCGGGGGCCATCCCCACAGCGCCCAGGTCGGCCCGTTAGAACCAGACGCGGGCGCCTGCCCAGCGGGCCCGAGCACTCTGAGAACGGGAAACAGGCCGGTCTGCTCTCGCTTCCCCTCTCCCTTGGGGTGTTCTGACCCCCCATCCCAGGCTGAGGGAAGATGAGCCCTTAGCGGGGACAGGGACACAGGGAGACCCAGGCCCCACTTCCCCTCACGCAGGCCCGGCCCCAGGACAGTCCCACGACGACGACCCAGCGGAGGCCTTGTGCTTCCAGACCCGCGGGACAGGCTATGCGCTCCCCAGGACGGGACCCAGGCCAGGGGAGCAGGGCTGGGAAGGGGGGCCGTGCTCCCGGCCACCCCCTCAGCCCGGTGAGAAAAAGGGGGCCTTGGGGTCGCTGAGCGAAAGGTCGGGAGAGGCCGGGACCGCGGGGCAGCCTGAGGGGCAGTGAGTGACCCGCGGGGACGCGTGGGGGACAGCACCTGGCATGGGCGCAGACCCACTGGTCGATGATGGCCACGCCGCCGTCCTTGTACAGCTCCAGCTCACCCCACGTGGGCTCGAACCTCACCATCTCGGGCAGCAGCCGCCGGAGCAACTCGTGCTCTGCAAAGGAGGGGCGCTGACCGGCCCGCGGGCGCTGGACAGGGCCTCCTGATGGGGCGAAGGGGCAGGGGACACCACCAGGACGCAGCGCCCTCCTCCCAACAGGCAGCGCGGCAGGGGGTGGCACACGCGCCCGGGGCCGCCCAGACCCCGCGGGAGCCGCCTACCCGCTGGCGCGGCGTCGGTGGCCACGAACACCTGCTGTAGCCCGTGCTGCTCCATGAGGCTGCGGATCTTCCGCACGGCTCCCTCCAGGCTGGGCACGTCCTCCCTGTGCCCCCAGATGAAGTCTTTCCTCCTCAGGTGGACCCCCAAGTACGGGCCGCCCCGCGAGGAGCCCAGCTTGACCTGGTAGAGCAGGACCAGACACGCTGACGCGGGCTGAGCTGCGCCAGCGTCCAGGTGCAGGGCTGGGGATGCGGAGGGGACGTGCGTGAGCCCCTCTGAGGGACTCGCGGAGGCCAGGTGTCTTTCGAAGGCCATGGAGGGTCCAGCGCACCCTCCAGCCTGAGTGCAGCAGGGAGTGCGGGGCAGGGGGGTGGGGAGCCAGGCCCTCGTCGGTGCCGCCTCCCCTGCAGCGAGCACGTCCAAGTACTGGCCACTGCGGCTTGACAGCGGCCCCGCCGCAAACGGCCCGAGCGCCTCGCCAAAGAGCAATGAGCCGCTGACACGGAAACCGCGCTGCACCGAACACGCTCAGAGACGAGGTCGGCGTAAAAAAGCAGCGAGTCATCTGTCTGTGGACATTAAACTGCACAAAAACCCCAAGCTTTCAGAAAAAACTCTGGAGAAGGGTGACGCCAGACCAGAGGGTGACCGGGGCCGGGGTGGGCGGGGAGCGGTGGCCTCTACCGCGCCCGCGCCGTGAAGAGCGGGCTGTGCGTGCTGACCGCCTCGCTCCCGCCCTGCTCCGGAGCCGGCGCCTGCACCAACCCGGCTCCCCGCACAGAGCCGGGTCTGGAGCCCCCCGCTCCCCCGCTGCCCCGGGAGCAGCGTCCACCATAGTCAGGGCAATGCGGATTGTGTGAGGGAGGTGACGCCCAAGGGGACAATCATGCCAATGCCGCCTGACCCTCTGTAAAGGGAGCGGCTACTCATGCGCCCGGAGATGGTTGCCAGGCCCGCAGCCACCTGCATCTTGGTCCAGTCCTCCTGGAAGGGGGTCCCGTCAGCCTCGTCGGTGGAGTTGAGGTACCGGCTTCTGAAGCGGTCGCCCACAGCCCGCAGGTGCCTGGCAAACACCATGCTCCGCCGGGTCTGGGGCAGAGAACACGCACTGAGTCCCCGCAGCCCGCCGCGCCGCACCCCGGTCCCACCCCCAAGAACCTGACGCCAATGCCTGGGACGAGTTGCCCCCCCCACCCAAGGCCAAGCCGGGCTGGGCCCAGGCCCACGCGGTCACTGGGGCCACCTGGCAGGGTGACAGCTCATCAACCATCAGCACGTCAGTGAGCCTCAGACTCACGAGCACTGTTACCACACAGCCAACACCCACGACCCCAGCCCCTACCCGAGGTCCCCTGGGCCTGGGGCCGAGTCCGGCTGAGGGAGAGTGGCTGATGGGGTCCCCGTGCTTAAAGGCCAGTGGGGGGCCCACGACGCTGACGAGGCACAGAGCTGCGCTGTCCCCAGTGGTGATAACGGCACTCTGTGCCTCTGAAACGACCTGCCCTAGGGGCAGCCCAGGCACGAGTCCGGGGAGCACGGCTCCCACCGGGGGCCCCTGCTCGGCCCGGTCCCCCCGCTCGAGTCCCACGACCCGGACAGGGCAGGTCGGCGGCTGCAGAGGGACGTGACTCCCATTTCTTTGGGCTCCTGATGCAGGACAATGGAGCGGGCGCCCCGGGACGAGGACGGGCCAGTCACTCTACGGTTAGGAGGCACCAGGGGCACCGCCCTGCACCGTGAAGCAGGCGCACAGGTCACGGGCACAGAGTGCAGTCTGCGGAACACAGCCACGCCGCCTTCCTGCCCAGAGGTGAGGCGCCCTGCACAGCAAAGCTGCAGCTCAACGGCAAACCGGGGGACCGCGAGGACGGCCATCGAGCCACCGCGGGAGGCCCACGGCGGGGCGTCCACACCCAGTGCTGCCCGGAGCCTCGGCGTTCGGCCGGCCAGGCGGAGGGCAGAAGCCCCGGCGTCTGAGACGGACGCCCGCAGCGGCACTCACGTCCCAGTACTCCTTGCCCCCGTAGTGGTCGTGCAGCAGGTTCTCGGCTCTGTCCAGCATCACGGACCTGGATCAAACAGGAGAGAGGGTTTGACTGTAATGAGGACCACGTGCTCGTGCTCCAGAAAGCGGCGTCAGGGAGGGGCCGGGGCCGGGGCCATCGGGATGGACAGAGGGCACTGCCTTGGCTGGGCCACCAGGGAGCCTGTGGGCCAGTCACTAAGGAGTGGCCATCTGGCCATGCACACCGCGATTCTGAGACGGTCTTTAATTCCCGAGTAAGCCCAGTGGCCGTGACGTCCCTCCGTCCGGCCCGATCCGGATGTTACCAGGCCAACTGGTGACCGGCAGAGAAAAGGGGAACAGAACGAGGTAAGGGGAGCAGAGAGAACCCGCAGCACCCAGAGGGGTCATGCCCGACGAAGGGGCTCCCGCCAGGAACGCGGAGACGGTTCAGAGCCGACAGCCTGCCAGCCCCCAGGGAGGCCACGCAACAGGGGACGCCACGAAGGCTGAGTCCAGTCCTTACTCCTGCTCTAGAAAGTGGCCTCGACACAACAGGGACCAGGCGTGCCTTGTCACATGTGTGCTTCTCAGGCCAAAAGCTAGTCCCTTCTTCAGGGACCGGCCGACTCCTGCCTGCAAAGCGAGGGCCGAGAGGCTGCACTTCACGAGGTAACCGAGCCCCTGCAGCTTCAGAGGGGACACTCCAGAAACAGGCCCACGTCCACGTGGGGCTGGGCAACCCCATGGCTCATGGCAGGGAGAGAAGGCATGTCACGCCGGGGGGCGGTGACGGGGTCACATCAGTCACATGGAGCAGACCTCAGCAGTTAAGAGTGAGGGTGGACGCGTGGACTGCCAGGGCGACAGGCAAGGACTTCTAAGAATACCAGGATGGTGAAGACAAGACTAAGACCCAGAAGCCGTGAGAGAAACAACCGAGAGAACGTGAACACATGAAAACTAAAACCTCCTGTAGAGACAGAAACTGGCGAAAGGTTTAAATAAATGCTCTATGGAAAAACGTTCCAAAGCAGCTGTTACACGTGCCTCACTCTGAAATCACAGAAACACAACCCAACAGACCAGGGGCCCCTTCTGCCCCCCAGCACCAGAGCCCGCCGCGCTCAGCCCCGGATGGCACCAGAGGGCACACGCCCCGTGGCCCGGCCACTCCTGCTCTGGGTGTGGGCCTCCGTTTTCACCCCCCACACCCGTGCAAAAACGGTTCCTGTTTGTTGCACCAACAACCAGAACCAGCCCAAGGCCACCAACTCGGCCGGTTCAGTGAGTTCTCACACATCTGTGCAGAAACGACTGTAAAGAACATGGGGACCTCTGTGGGTGCAACACCCGAGACACATCGTTACGTGGGAAGAAGACGTGAGGCCACACGCACGTGCACACGGCAGGTGCGACCGCGCGTGTCAGCAAAGGGAGCCATCACGAGCAGAGAAGTTCTGGGAAGTCACGGGAGTGAGCGGCACCAGGGTGGCCTCTGGGGTCAGCGTGCAAAGGGCGCCTGCAGAAACGCGCACCCCCACGCGTGCGACCTAATGCTCGCACCCACGATGCACGTCGTGCGGCCACGCCCACCCTGGTGCCCAGGCCCCCCCCGAGGGACTGCCTCGGCGCGCGCCCCCACACTGCAGGCCACGCGTGCGACCTAATGCCCGCACCCACGATGCACGTCGTGTGGCCACGCCCACCCTGGTGCCCAGGCCCCCCCGAGGGACTGCCTCGGCGCACGCCCCCACACTGCAGGCCGCTGTGTCCTGCGGACGGCTGCGCCCTTCCACGCGGCATCACAGAGACGCGTCCTTGCTGAGGCAGCAGCGAGTCTCCATTTTCTCGACTGAGTCACGCTTCAGCCTTGCACAGGCCGCAGCCCCTTCATCCACCTGCAGCTGAAGGACACGGCGCATTTCCTGGTGGGGGCTGTCACAGGCCTGCCATCCAACCCGAAGGCCAACTGCCCCCCAGCAATGGCCCCAAAGCCTCCTGCCCGCAGCAGCAGCAGCGTGCATCCTGACCCCCCCACCGCGTACGTGCCCACGTCGGGGGCTGGGCCCACCTCCCGGCGGCCTGGCCTGCCCTGGACCCTGTCTGTTTCCCGCGTGGGCCCTTTGCTGCCCCTCCCATGCTCCGTCTTCCTGGACCTGCCGACCCCGTCTGCTCAGGGGACCCCGTCTGCTCAGGGCGTTTCCCGCGTGGGCCCTTTGCTGCCCCTCCCGTGCTCCGTCCTCCTGGGCCTGCCGACCCCGTCTGCTCAGGGGCGCATCTCCCGCCCGCGGTTTCCAGGTCTTTACCGAGGTGCTGAGTCTGCTGAGCCACCGGTGGGGTGACGCCCCTCACTGCCCAGCCCGCAGCTGTCAGGGGCCTCCTAGGCACGAGTCTCTCTCTGGGCTCAATTCCGTTCTACCCAGAAAACTAGACTCAGGAGAAACTGGCCGGCGAGCCCACGTGGCCCGCACAGCCGAGCTGCAGCCAGATGTGCTTCCAAAACCCAGCGGTGCTTGGGGAGGACGCTGCCCGGGACGCCCGTGTGGCCGGAGCGCGACAGGGGGCCCCAGCCCTGTGCTTCCTTTCCCGCAGCTGACGATCTGGCTCCTCAAGCAGAGGGCTGCTGGCCTGTGACGGACCCATTTGCACTTTGTGGTCAAGGGCCCAGCTCGCCCCATGGTGGCCCAAACAGGGAAATGGGCTGAAAGGGACGGGGAGGGGCCCTGGCCTGGCGTCCTGGCACACCGGGGGCAGCGCTGTGACTGTGGACGCAGAGCACTGACGAGCCTTGGGACGCACAGAAGCTGCGCTGGGCACGGACTCCCGGGGTGCGAGGCGCATCGCGGGCTGTGGCAGGCCGTGCAGGGGCCCAGAAGGTCACTCTACAGCCAGGCTCCTAAGAACGTGGCGCCCGCCTGCCAAGCCCTGCCCCCTGCCGCCTCCTCCACACACCAGCTGACTTGTCCCTTTCCCGCTGACCCCTGGCGCCCCCGGTGGCGAGGGCGGGCAGCTGCGCTCCGGGAGGAGCAGGGACCGTGGGGAACGGGCGGCAGGGCGGGCACACCGCCACAGGAGGGGCCCCAGGCAGCCGCCCACCGCCCACAGCGCATCTGTGGAAGTGGCTCCAGCCCTCGGGACCACTGCAAGGTCAGGATGGCGGGGCCGTGCGGGAGAGACGCACTCAGACAAGCCTCCCCCACGCCGGGCCCTCGCAGCCGGCTCCAGCCCGCCGCCCGGCCCATCATCTCGAAGCCGTCCAGGCCCCGCGCGTCCCACCCGTCCTCGTCCTCGCCCTCACCCGCCTCGGCCACGCGTCCCCTCGGGCAGGCTGTGCCATCGCCCCTGCGGATGCAGGAAATAGAACGGCTCCCTCTTCCCGTCCAGCTACTTCCTTCATCCCTGTCCTCTGCTTTTCACTGCGCCTCCCCCAAGTCCCCCCACATCCAACCGCACCCTGCCTCATCACCACCACCTCAGACAGGGACCCTGGAGCAAACTGGATGTGAATCCGACTTCACCAGCCAGCAGTGTGACCCCCGCCCTGCAGTTCAAACACAGCGGCTCCGAGGAGCACCCCGTGAGGACGGCAGGCTGCGCCGCTGGCAGAGACTCAGGGCACCGTGCCACTGACCCCAACCCAGGGCCCTCCCCTGGCCTTTCCCCAAGGACACCTGCAGCTCTGTCATCGATCCCCATGGCCTGGCCCGGCCCATCTTGCTGTGCGGTGGGTGTGGGACAGGGAACAAGGTCACACGAGCCACAGCCAGGTATCCTGATGCTAGCAGGACAGCACGCAAGTGTGCGCACACATGTCTATGCACACGCATATGCACACACCGGCATGCACGCACTCATACATGCACTGTATGCACACGCACACGAGTATGCACGCCCACACATGGACACACAAATATATGTGCACATGCACACACGTGCACATATGCACCCACACGTGCATACACGTACACACGCACATGCATACAGGTACATACGCACATGCATACACATACGCACACAATGCACGTACACATGCGTGCGCACCCATCTGCATACATGCACACCATGCACATGCATACGTGAGTATGCACACACGCGTACACACGTGCATGTGCACATGCACTCACACACACGCACGCACAGCCTCGTCCACTGACCGGCCACTGAGCGGACCGCACCTACCGTGCTGACGTGTTTCTCAGAAGCACAGGCGCGATGATAGAAGCCGATCCTTGAACAGACAGACAGGAAACGTTTAAACCCCGTGTTTCTTCGTAGCCCCAAAACCATCCTCTGGAAAAGAAAAGCCACAGGCCCCCTTAGTCCAGCTTGTTTGCCACGGGCAACGAGCAGAATCTAGACACGCGCCCTGCGGCCTCCATTCGCTTGGCTCTTCCTCCTCGTGAAAACTCGTGAGCCGCGATTACAAGTCACGTTCTTGTGAGAATTTTTCCGGAATTCATGAATTCACGCATTGCGTCTGGTCTGACGAACCGCGGAAGCTGCTCTGAGGGACGGGACGACAATGACGGGCCCCTGCTGGAAGGACCGCGCTGCAGGGCCCGGCCGTGACGGCCACGGCCACGGGCCCCAAGACAGTGTCTCCTAAAGAGCTGCTGTGTCCTCCGAGTGTCAGAGCCGAGGTGCGAGCTCGGCACAGGGGTGTCTTCTGACGGCAACTTGGGGTGACGAGACTGCCATTCCCGAGGCCTCGCTCAAACACACCGAGTGTGGGCAAACGTGACCGTGACTCGGTCAGGCGCTTTTGGAACGGGGCGGGCCGGGAGGGAGGAAGGAGGCCGCCCACCCCGGGAGGCCGGCGGCCGCGGGCACCTGTAGTACTCGTGCTTGTCCTGCGTGTACAGCAGCGGGTCGATGCAGGGCCGCGCGTCGACCTTCTCCTCCCACGTGCCCGGCCTCCAGCCCTCCGCGTAGCTCTGCAGCACGTACACCTGGTCGATGAAGGGCCCGCCGGACTCTGGAGACCGGGGCAGACAGTGAGGCAGCGACCAAGGCAGACCGCGGCGTCTCCCAGGCCACCGCCGACGCGGATGGGGAACCGTCCCTATTTACCGCCTCTTCCCAGAAAGGCCTGGAGGAGTCACGAAAACGGACACAGGACAGAACGAATGACCTCAGGGCGCGGGGTCCCTGGAGGGGGTGAGGGGGTCGGCCTGGAGTGGGAGCTCTCCAGGCCCTGGCTGCCCCCGGGGGCCCCTCGCCGCCCCGACCCTCACAGCACTGGGCGCCCTAGGCCCTCCTCTCTCCCACAGCACCCGCGTCCACGTGGTGCAGGCCCCACCTGCTCTGCGTTGTCTCCCGGGCCACCGCGAGCTTCCTTCCCGGGGCCTGGACCATGCTGCCTCCACCACCCCTCTAAGGTTTGCTCCTGACCTCTGCGAGGCCAAACAGCACCTCCCCAAGAGGCTTCCGGGCCACAGCCCCGCCCCTCCAACACCCCAGCCCGCTGCTCAGCTCGGGGCACTGCACGTGGCAACTCCCCGCGGATCCTCCTCGTCTCTGTCCCCCACCCCACGGGAGCTCCAGGAGAGCGGGGGCCTGTGGCCTCCCCCACGGCTCCCAGCCACAGCTAGTACGCAGCGGCCACACCTGCAGTGGTCAAAGGACATTCGTTCAAAGACGACATGAACCCAGTGACATGAGCCCAGTGACAGAGACGCGAGGGAAGTTCCGGTGGGACCAGGCGGGTCGGGGGAGGGAGAGCTCAGGAACGCTGAGCACCCTGACCTCACCGCCTCAGCCTGATGAGAGGCGAGGAGACGCTCCTACGACGTTCACAGGGCTGCCTCGGACACGGAAACATTTCGAGTGACAGGGACTGATGCAGCAAGAACTGAACTTGACGAAGGAAGGCGTGCAAGCCACCGTCTCCTGGGGGAGCACTGCCTCTAAGCTGTGCCGTCCCGCAGAGTAGGACTCAACCAATGTTAGAGCATCCGCCACTTAGAGACGTGGCCCGTCAATGACGTCGGAGTATTGGCACTTAGACAGGTCATTCTGCCAGGCCTTGGAGAAGTGAAAAGACGTTTCACCGACTTCCTAAACATACCAATAAGCTCAAGAAACCTTCACTCTAAGAAAATCTTCAACTTTTCTCTCAAAAGAACTTAAAAGGAGAGATGGAGGAAGATTAAGGGAAACGGCGTGTCGTCACACGTCCTCACCAGCAGTGCGGTGAGACGTCGCGAGGTCAGAGCCACACGCACCTTTCTGCACGGGGAGCCGTCCTACTAGGACAGCCGGCCCGGGCCAGCAGCTTTGTCAAGGCGACTCTGGCCTCGCTGCCCACCTCTCCTGGCTGCCACAGCTGGCGGAGGCGACGGGCGCAGCTCACACACCTGACATCCACTTCCCAGGACACCCCGACAGACAAGGTCGCTGGGAGCGTGGGAAACGGAAGCAGGGCCAGGTGCGGAGCAAAGGCCCAGGTGACAGCGCTGGCCAAGCTCTGGACCGGGCCAACGGCTGTGTTAGCACCTCACCTGCAATGAACTGCTCGTACTCGATGACGGGGATGTTTCTGTTGAGACTCGGGAGATCAAAGAAGTCGGCCCAGGGGATCCGGACCTGGTGAATGTCGGGGCTCTGCCAGTGGTAGAGGCGGCCCCACGGGGGCAGCACCAGCACCCACTCCTCCGTCTTCAGCAGCGTCTTCAGCAGGGAGGCCATGCGGATGTAGACGTCCCTGCGGAGGTTGAAGCCCTCGGGGGGATTGACATCGTACAGAAGATACCTGGTGGGGAGGGGCCGAGAGCGGGGCTTCAGCGCCCACGCCCCTGGACAGACACCTGGACGCGCCCGCGATGCGCAGGGGGTCGCCCACCCTGGGCGCTTTCAGTAGCTGCTCCCTGTAATCCCAGCGTCCGGGGAGGAGCGGCAGGTATCTACCTCAGCACCTGCTTAACAACCAGCGGTGATTCACACCGAGCCCAGCAGTCTCGGGACTGGACCTGAGACTTGGTCCTCCCCGCAGTTCGGGAACTTTTTGGTCCAAAGCCCACTTTACACTTGTGACAGTCACTGAGGACCCCAAAGGGCTGCTGTTTATGTGGGCGAGATCTACCTACGATTCCTGTACTAAGAGTTAAGGTAAGGACTTTAAAAAGTACTTGTTTCACTCCAAAATAATAATTAATCTACTACACATTACTGTCGTTAATAGTAAATGAAGAACAAGGGCATTTTCCAAACAAAAACGATTCGTGAGAAGAGTGGCAACTGTGATTTTTGTGACTCTCCTGTTTGCTGATAGCTGGATTCTCCCTTCTGCTGCTGAATTCAGTGGGATATCACAGGACGGGTGGTCCCCGGAAAAAACAGAGTTAACCCCTGAGAGTGAAAAAGGCAAATACCGTCCTGGTATTACCAGGAAAACGGTATGACAGCTCAGGGAGCCCGGACACGCTCTGAGAACCGCTGCCCTGTCCAAAGCAGGCTTCCCCTCCAGACCCAGGCAGGGCCCTCGGCTCCGGCCCCCCGCGCCCTCCCGGCGCTGCCCTCCCCCGCAGCCCCCGCTGCTGCGGAGGAAGGTGACCGACCCGCCTCCCTTCTCCGCGCCCCGCCCGCACAAGGTCTGTTGTGCGCCAGCGGGACGCGCACGGACCCCCGCTCTGAGCCTGGAACACCCAACATCTGGACGGAGACAGGATTCCGCGCAGGTAAAAAGGCTGGGCTTTCATCGGAACCAGCCCACTCGAACCTCTGAGTCCGGGACCCTCGAACCCCGGGCCCGCCCCTCACGCTGACCCACAGCCGGGCTGCCCCGGGTGTCCGGGGGCCGCGTCCGCCCAGGGCAACCGCGGTTCGCGCCCGCCGCCCCGCGACCCGGGCCCCGCCGGAGATTTAAGTTGCCTTATTATCATTTAATGAAACAAGGGATAGGAACTAGATTTACACCTATGACTGGGGCTGAAGACAGATGATAAAACTAATACAGCCTTCTTGGTTTTCTGAGGAGGATGGATGGTCAGAAGGGACTCTAAGACAGTGGTCTCCAACCTTTTTGGCACCACAGGAGAGTCTAATGATCTGAGGTGGAGCTGAGGCAAGGATGCTAGAGCTGAGGAGCGGCTGCAAATACAGGTGAAGCTTCGCTTGCTTGCTGGCCGTTCACCTCCTGCTGTGCGGCCCGGTTCCTAATAGGCCACGGACTAGTACCAGTCCATGGCCCGGGGCTTGGGGACCCCTGCTCTAAAAGTCCCTGGTCAGAGAACCCCAACTACTAAAGAAATAGTTCCCAGGATGTCCCTCCCTCTTCCCTAGAACACACAGGGTGGTGTGACCGGCCTTCATCAGTGGGTGGCCCCAGAGCTGTCCCTGCTGTTGCCAAATCCAGGAACTGGGGGACGCTCGCGGGGCCGGGCAGTGCTCGAGCCTTGCAGGCAGGTGTCCGGCCTTGCTCCAGACCCCGGGCCCCGCACCGTGACCCACCCCCTGCCCGTTCCAGGGGCTCGGGGTGTTTTGCACCCCTCCACCATTGTTTCTAACGGGAGCACCTCTTGGAGAGAGAGGCGAACCACGCGGGGCGCCAGCGGCCCGGTTCGTCGCCCGAGAGAGGCGCCTCCCTGCCCTCCCCTCCCTTGCCTTCCCCTTCCGCCTCTGCGGATGCTTACCTGGAGTGACCCGGGGAGGTTCGATGCGTCTTTCATTAAGGGGAAAAAAAAAACCCCAGAAATCTCTGTGCGAATATCTGGAAACAGCTTGCTCTTCTGCACAGCAGTCTGCCGATGGTTAGGGTTTACCGACTGCGTGTGCAGTGGGGAGAAAGCGCTGGCTCTTATGCGACCCCAGCAGCGTCTGCGCGAAGCCACTTGGCCACGAGAGGGCAGGAGAGCCCTTCGCTCTCCCAGGTGTCAGAGGGACAGAGGGAAGGAGGTGGAAGGGGACAGGGCTGCCAGAGGAGCCAGCCGCCAAACGCACCTGGGCCCACGAACACCGCGGGGCCCAGCCCCACAAAGAGGAGCAACGGGACCCTCACCCGCTTTGGCCTAGAGTGGGGGAGACACAGGAACAGCTCTGAGTCCTGGAGTCTCTGAAGAGGGACAGAGAGATTCCCCTGGGAGCGCGAATTCCTCCGCAAGGCCCTGGCCTGAGCTGGGACCCGGGAGGGAGGGACAAGGACCTGCCAGGGGTCCTCTTCAGAGAGGGGAGCTCAGCGCGTCCCAGGAGCGAGTCCTGAGGAGCCCATGTCCCAGCCCCTTGGCGCCGTCCAGTCGTGCCCCCAGGTAGCAGCCACATTCACCGTCATTCCCCCTCCTGGGAGGGCGGCCCCAGGTGGGGAGCAGGGGAGGGGAGGGGAGGGGCACCTTGGGGCCTCCTGGGCAGCAGTCACAGGCTTAAAGGCGGGTCAGGCTGGGGGACAGCACCATCACCCCTCTGAGAACACAGCAAAGTTGCAGTTAATCCGTGCAAAGCCATGAACCCTTGACCACAATACATGGTAGCCGGCCACCACGGAGGGAGTCTGGACCGTGGAAGCGGGTACAGTCGTGGAACGGGGCTGAGACTGCCCAAGTCTGGGGCTCTGCTGGCGCACAGACACCCCAACACGCACATTCCTCACACCACATGCACCCCACTCTTCAGTGTGCAAGGTGAGTCACCTGGATGCACGTGTTACGTGGCGCCCCAATCCCCCGGCCATGGGAATGCACAGGGGAGCTGACTGCTGTGAGTCACCACAGAGGGCAAGGGACTTCAGGTTTGGAATCTGTGGCCACAGGCCACACACCAGAAGGATTTCTTAACAGGACACATGGGGGCCACCCACCAGGACCCAGGACCCAGGTTCCTGGAGGCACGCCCATTCCTGCATCAGCACCCCTGGTGATGTCCCCACAGTGGGGCCTGACCTCTGGGATGATGGCTCACCAGGAACTGTAGGAAGGCTGCTCCGGGAGGTCCCAGGGGTCCGCAGTGAGAGTGTGACAGGCAGTGTCCTGATGGCCACACCGTGCCAGGCAGGTCATCGTCCTCTGGAACAGAATGGAAGCTCTGCCCTACAGGGCCTGTAGGGGCACCTGGCCACACTCTGCCCTCCCCAGACACGTCAGCCATCAGCGGTCAGCCGGGTGGGCCGGTGTGGGGCATGCTGTGTAGGGGCGGAGAAGGGGCTCTCGCAGGGGCAGGGGCCACTTGCAGGGATCCTGGCCTGGGTGGATGACACTGCCTCAGACGTCCCCAGTGCCGGGCTCCCCAGCTGACCTCCTCGCCGGGATGCAAGGGCCTCTCCCATGTGGGCAGTGGGGGCAGCCAGACTTGCAGTGCTGGGGGTGGCTGCCGGGGTGGGGGAGCTGTGCATGTGAGCAGGGGTGCGGTGCCGGGGGGCTGGGGTCAGTACACTGGACACTGGCAAGTGTCCGGCTACACTGCACGCTCTGTCTTACTAAACAGACTGCTTATTTATGTTCAGGGCGCCGTTTTCAAGGGCTACTCTTCAGCCCACAGACGGCGGGGGGAGGGTCGGGGGTCCCTCTGTGGAATGAAGCACAACGGGGACTCTTGCTGACTCACAAGGACACCCCGCTTACCAGGCGGGTAACAACTTCACACGACCCCTGCCCTCTTTGCTTTGGGGCGCTGCATCTGTCTAGGGTTGCACATTCTTCCAGCTGAGTCCCCCAAACTGCAGTAGGTAGATTTTAGGGGGCTGCATTTAGACCCAGCCCACGAAAACCCAGGAGGAGTGGAGGGTCCTTTATCCAGCTGGAGCCCCCTCCGCCAGATACCGTGTAGCTGAGGCACAAACTCCCCCAGACCCCCGAGACCCCCAGCAGCAGGCCCGGCTGGGGACTCAGGCGTCACCTGTGAGTGGGGAGCAGCCTGCGCACCTCCGGGGCTCGGGAAGAAGCTGCGGCGTGCAGAAGGGAGCGTGGGGGCGGGGGCACGGCGTGTCGCGTGCTGGCGGGGTTGACGTTTCAGAGGCGCAGCCAGTGGGCACATTGTCACGCACGGAAAAGGCGCGCGCTCCTCGCCGTGGCGAAACGCTGCCTTCGTCGCGAGGTGCGTTCCCACAGGCGTGCGGTGCCGTCTCCAGTCACCTACTTGTCACCTTCTGCCAACAGCGTCGCGTTACTGACGGTGGTTCGGCAGCAAGTCCCTTCCCGGCGTCCTTTCAAAAGCATTTCTCCGCGAACCTTGCACGTTTTCTCCTCGGTAGGAAGTTTAGGGTCCGTCGTTTCAAACCGACCGTGCTGGGAATTTCCCCGGACGGCGCCGGGCGGAGGGGCGCGCTGTCGGCTCTCGACTTATCTAGATCATCGGATTTCATTTATGTCAGATTCGCTGATCTCTTGGTCTATCCCTAGGCTTTATCGCTATCGTGACTGGGACATCGTTCGTCATGAAACGTTATGATTACGTATTGCTGTTTAACAAATGCTATCGTTTTTGTATTCTGGGCGTTCGATTGGCCACTTTTAATTCTAACGCTTTGCCAGTTGATGATTTTGGATTTTCTAGGCAAATAGTCCTACAATTATGCAAATAATCGCATTTTTATCTCTGCCTTTTCAGTACTTGCAGTTCCCGTGTATTTTCTTACAATTATTGATTCGCTAGGATTCGAATATAAAGTCGGGCATCTTTCCCCTGTTTCCGACCACACTATAGATAGTTCTGACCCATGGTCGGGGGGTCAAATCCCGCCAGGTGGTCTCTCTGCTAATAAAGTCTTATTGGCAGGCAGCCAGGCGCGCTCCTGCATTCCCTCGGGGTTAGGTGGTCAGGGCAGAGAAAGACCTAGAACAATTGCTGTCTGACCCTTTTCAGAAGTTTGCCAACCCCGCTTCCAGTGGCTAAGGACGGCGCTTGCTGGCGGCGGAGGGATTTGTCCGCCGTCTTGTGGTGCCTGCGAGTTAAATTCTGTGATATGTGTTTTACCGAAGAAAAGTTTTATTCACTAATAAAAAGTTTTACCGAACGCTTTTGGGGGACTGAGTCCCTTTGGAGATGTTCGTGGGTTTCCCTCTTTTTGAGCAGGTAGCTGTACCGACAGATTGCACAGTGTCGACTCATTCTCGAGAGGGCTTTTGCTCACACCGATGTATTGGGCTGTTTGTCGGTGCATTTATTTAGGGTAATCATGTCTCGGGTATAAATCTCGTGTCCCCGTCGGCGTGTGGCGGTGTCACCCACCTCTTGACTTACCGTGTGGAGGGGATTTGGACGCCTCTGTATGTTTCTGTGTCGGAACGATGCAGCTCTTTGTAACAACTCGACTGTATCCGGTTCTCGCCACGCAGCGGGCATAACTCTACATGTTTTACACGAGTTAGGTCTTTAACCGTCAGATCGACCTTGTGAATTCCAGACCATTTTCACGCTCACTTGATGGATGAGGACACTCAGGCACAGAGAGGTAAGTGGCCTGCCGAAGGTCGCCCTGCAGGGAGGGGGTGGGCACTGGGCTGGTCTCCAGAGCCCCCAGCCCTGACCACAGGCCGCTCTGTGTCTCCTGGCAGACAGGTTATTTCCTGCAGGTCGTGGAAAGACTCGCGACACTGCCTGTGCCAGGTGCCTTTTTCAGGATAAATCTTCGGCTACTTTTTTTCCTGTGCCCCCACCAAACCTCCCAACCACTGGAATAATCCAATTTCCTATTTCTACTTGAGTCAGGTTTTTAAATTAAATTTATTGGGGTGACATTGGTTAACAAGATCATATAAGTTTCAAGCGTCCAATTCAACAGTGCGTCGTTGATACGGTCCGCTGCGCGCCCAGCACCCGAAGCCCGGCCTCCCGTCGCTGCGCATCTGACCCTCCGCTTCCCCTTCACCCCCCGCCCCCGCCCCCTCCGGTAACTGCCGTGCCGTTGCGTGTGTCTGCGAGGTTTTGGGTTTGTTGGTTTGTTCTTTTGTTGCTTTCTGTTTTATAACCCACGTACGAGTGAATTGAGTCAATTTTGTATTTCATATTTTCCAAGAAAACCATCTATTTAATCTAGCTTTCGAAATTCATCGCTATAAACTGAAACATGATAGTTTCATACTTTTAAAAGTCCCCATTCTCTTTCTCCTTTCTCCCTTTGTTCTGGGGGACAGCGGGTGTGTCCCAGGCATGGCCCTCATCACCCCAGGGCTGCGGGGTGGATCCCGGGGAGCCGGAGACGGGGGTCGATTTTGAGCGGTGGGCAGCAGACGTGCTCCGTGTCACCCGCCCGCCTGCAGGACATGACACGACAGGAAAGTTCCTGTCTCTGTGGTTCTTGGCATTTATCCGAGTTACCTTTACTCCAGAGATCGGCTCGTATTGGGTTTTCGTACGTCCCACGGAGAATGTGTCTGACGGCACAGAGAAAATGGTTGTTGTGAGGAGCTACTGAATATTCGTAAAGATGATGCAGATGCGTTTTTAAGAATACGCCATCTAAAGTGACTCGAAACGTCCCCTTCTCTGAATTTCGTTAACCGATGAAGATGAGCTGAGAAAGGTGCTTATCATAAGAGGGATATGACAAGGTGACATCTACTCATCCCCAAAGCTGGGAAACGTCTAGTTAAGTGGTGACGTGGACACAGTGCAGAAGCACAACACACACGAGGTCTCAGGACATGAAAGGCAGAGGGACGGAGCCTGCGGCCAGCTGTGTCCGAGCGCCTGGGCTGACGCAGGTTTGCAGACCACATGGCTGGCCTGTCTCCTCTGGGAGAGATAACGTGCTTCTGGCCGACGCCGCTGGAGCAGCCGGAGCTGGAGAAGGCAGGCGGGGCCCTTATCACAGTCCTCTGCGTGGGAACTTTCCGGGCCGGACAGTCCTAGCTGGGCGCATATCTCGAAGGGGCTCAGAATCGGAGCCCCGCACGGCGCCCCAGGACACGGGACGCTGGGCAGTTTTGCAATCAAACGGCATTGCTGTCGGATGCCCAGTGTGACAGCCTGGTAACTGAAGCCAGCACGTGCCGAAGGCTCGCCCGGTGCCCGGTGCCTGCTGGGCCGCTGTCCACTGTGGTGGCTCCTCTGAGCCTGCTCGGACCCCTTGGAGGTGGGCACCTCTGCGTGTGGGTGGGGGCCCTTGGGCTGCAAAGATAAAACTTAACTCCCAGGGACTTGGGCTAAGAGAAGAATGTTCTGGAGTTTAGAGGTAAATAGCCAGAGGAGGAGAGATGGATGAAATCTGGGGGTCCCTCTGCTGCTCCCCAGTCCTCACTGTCTCTGTCCCCCGTCTCCCCCTCCTTCTCCCCGCCTTCCCCCTCCCCACATGTCGGCACTCGCTGCTCCGGGGGCAGCCGCGGACGGAGCCGGCAGGGCCCGCCTCTAGGAGAAGGTCTGGGCACGGAGTGCCAGGCACCGGGTCGGCCCGGAGCAGGTCGCACGGGCCGCCGTGTGGCAGGCGGTGGAGACGCTGGAGATGGGCGGCCGTCGGAAACCGCCTGCTTCTGCCGATACGGAAAGTCGTGGAGTAATAAGGCGCTTGGAGCCTCATCCTGGTCCAGGGCCTCTCGCACCGGCCCCGAGCAAGGTGTGCGTTTCTGGAGGTGGGGGCTGGGCCCCAGGTCCTCGGAGGTGAGGACCCCATGTTCACACTGCTCTGTCACCGCCGACCCCCAGCTGGTCCCTGGACTGATGACAGTCTGGGTCGGGGACAGGCTTTCCAGCACTGGCTGGGCCACCCAGGCCCTGGAGGCACGTGGGAGCCATCCAGTCAAAGTGTGGGGTGGGACGTCACCGTCCGGCTGGACGGCTCACTGCAAAGCATGGCTTCTGTCTCTGTCTCACGGAAGCGGGAGGCCCATGTCATGAGAACATCGGGAAAATTCCTTTGAAGGCTAGTGCGCGCTGGGCCGGCAGCTCAGGGGTGGCAGGGTCCTGGGAACCTCTTCCGTCCCAGAAGTCACCACCCCCAGGCCTCGAACCTGTCCCTGTCCCCTGGGACGGGCCCCCTGAGGCCCCATCCATCTGCCGCTCATGCAGCCCGGTCCATCCTCCTCCTGCGGCCATGCTTCCTCCCCAGGGAGTCCCAGCCCCACGC